ACACACACGATACTCTGAGAACACATCTGTACACAATATACACACACGATACTCTGAGAACACATCTGTACACATCTGTACACATCAGTGACTGTAAATAGTTTGAGTGTATGAATGTGTATGAATGTGGAATCACAATAATTACACGTGTCATCACATCAGGTGTGAGGACAGAAATGTGTGTCTGACCTTCAGCCTGGTCTTTGGTCACTTCCTCCTGCTCCTCGTCCAGAGCCTGAAAGATGGCCGACAGGAAGAAGAACAGCAGCTCACACAGAGGACCTTCAGGATCAGAACCCACCAGAGCCTCCTCCAGAACCTCTGTGGAGATAAAACCTCAATTAGATGATTCCATCCAAATCAATATCGGATAGAAGCAAAGCAAGGTGAGGAAGGTGAGGAGGGTGAGGAGGGAGAACCTAACAGAACCTCTCTCAGAACACATGAACTCACAGTAACAGACTCAAATAAAGCAGCTGGAGACCCAGTTGATCTGTGAAGCCCTACATCTCAAAACAACATTCTCACCGAGAGAGATTCCATCAGGGAACTCGTCCTTCAGGTCGAAGACTTCCCCGAAGGCTCGCAGGAACTCCAGAATCATCAGAGCTTCTCCAAAGAGTTCTGATGGAAGTCGAGTTCTCACTGGATCCGGACTGGGAAGCTCCTGGAAGAACCGACACAGCAGCGCAGGTCATCAATACGTTATTCACTGCACATAATGATGTCATCACGAGCTACAACGTGATGAGAGGCCTCGTCTGTTGTTCTCTTCTTCATTTGGACGATGTCGAACTGTCTTACTGTAAAAATTCTTATGAGCCTTCATTTAATCATGTGAGGTGACAGGTGGTGCGTTCACTGACCTTCAGGTCTTCACACTCCATGTCTTCTCTGGGTTTGTTCCACAGTTTCAGTCGCTCAGCGTATTTCTTCTTCTCCTCCTTCAGCTTCTCTCGTTCCTGTAAATTTCAGCCCGTCTTAAAACGTTCAGATTTCCGTTTACAAGCAGAAACACAAAGATAAAAAAAACCTCACCCTCTCCTTCTCCAGCTTCCTGTGCTCCTTCTCCTCCCTCCTTCTCTGCTTCTCCTCCTCGAACCTCTTCCTCTGCTCCTCCTTCATCTTCTCCTTGTCCTCCTTCTCCCTCCTCTTGGCTTCCTGCACCTCCTCCTTCTCCTTCTTCAGACGAGCTCTGTCCGTAGCCGCGGCAGCCATCTCCTTCCTCTGCTGCAGCAGCTTCAGCTTCTCCTCTGTCGCCTTCCCCAAAGACGGACTCATCTAAAACCACGACACACTTTAGTTTGAGGAAAATACTGATCTGAGCGAAGGGCTGCACGATATCACTCCTCACATCAACGTGATGAACCAAGCATGTAGATGTCTCTCGATCGATGAGGTGTGGATGTGTGACGTCATTACTCACCTGTCCGGATGAGCCACGCCCTCCACCTTTAGAGGGGGAGCTGAAGGAGAACAGGGGGGGCTCGTCGGGGAAGAACTGAGAGAAGGTTTGTTCAGACAGCTGGAACTTCATCACTGTGGAGGGCTGAGACGCAGAAGACACGTCATTCAGGACAACATGTGACCAACACGTCTGTCAGTGACATGAGCTTCAGGACATCATGTGACCAACACGTCAGTTCATCTTCAAAGTTAAAAATTCCCTCAAGTCCGACTTGAGATATACAATTCATTTATATTTGTACAGCAACAAATCATAACACAAATTACGTCACGACACTTTACATATAAACATAAAGACTTTAAAACTCCCACAGAAGTCCAAACGTTCCCACAGTTATTCCCTCATTGAAACCAAGACTCTATAGATCCAGACTCTATAGATCCAGACTCTGTAGATCCAGACTCTGTAGATCCAGACTCTGTAGATCCTGAACATGTTTGGTCAGGTCACATTTCACTTAATTCAAATTAGGTGAGGCCTTTTCTTGGTGAAGTTATAGTTTAATCGCCATCGTCTGACAGAACACACCTCCAAGCTGTTGTAGGTTCTCTGCTCCACAGATGAATTCTGACGTGCGTTAATGAAGGATAGAGGAGGAGGATGAAGACATAGACGATACGGTCGTGTGAACTGTAATGAATCTCACAGAACGACACTGGAACCGACAGTGAAGGAGAGAGTGCACTGGGACAGTAAGTCACACAGACAGACAGAACTCGTCCTCACCTTGAGAGCGATGGTCCCGTTCTGAGGTACACAGTGTTGTTTGAGGAGCAGCTTCAGTCTCTCTCTGGACAGAGTCGTCTTCCTGCGGCTGAACAAACAAACGTCTTGTGGTTACACTCACACCGGAAAATCAACAGAGATGAACAACCATCGGTTGAATCAGTTATTTGATGATATTTAAAAAGAGGCAGAGACGACTGGCTCCTGATTGGCCGAGAGCATGTATGGGTGGGACCTCGACACCACGAGCTGCTCCTGTGAAACCTGGAGGAGACAGCAGGACTGAGGTGTCTCCAGGAGAACTACTCACCTGATCTGATTGACTTTGACAGTGAACGGCTCACTGTGCTCGTCCCTCATCATCCTCACTGTGTATTTAAACACTGACGGACTCAGAGGCTTCTTCTTCTTCTTCCTGCTGACACACACACACACACACATGTGAGGATCACTCCAGGTTTTCAGCAGCTCTTTTCTTTACCTTCACCCTCTGACCTCTGACCTCTGACCCACTCACCTGTTGACCTGTGCTGTGGGACTCTGGAAGGCGTTGCTCTCGTCGTCGCTGTCACTGATGACGATGGTGTCGCCAGCTACAGGATTGTTGTGGCCATTGGTGGTCGGTGCTCCATTAGCACTGGAATGAGGAGAATTAACCTGCAGGATCTCACACGCATGTCTGAACACACACAGAAGAAGAAGGAAAGAAATAAAACATTCTGGGTTATTTTAGTAGAAATAATAAAAAAACACATTGTGTAAGAAAGTGAGTTGATTGAGGAACCAGACCTGGAGGAAATAGTCTCTTTACCGATTTCACATTTCCCAGTTCAAACACTGTTCACTAAAAAACCTGTTTTGAATCTGTGCAGGGTGGACGTTGGACATGCGTTGGACATGCGTTGGACATCGTCAGCTTTCTTTGGGTTTTTTGAAAATCTGCATCTACTTCCATGTAGCTTAATCCTGTTCTTTCAAAATAAAAGCAGCTTGACTGACTGTGAACAACTCCTGCTCTTTCAAAATAAAATCAGCTGAATTTACTGTGATCAGCTCACGTTCTTTCAAAATAAAAGCGACTGAACTGACTGATCAGCTCCAGTTTGCTCCGTCTGATTTCTGAGTGGATTTCTAGAAGTTTAATGTGGATGACATCAGAGATGATGATATCCTCAGGAAGTGATGTCACACTGAGTCATCTCAACATGTGTGTTGTGTCATGATGTTTTCTACATTCATTCTAAATACTGAAGAAAACTGAGGATTGTCAAGCAACTTCAGAATCGTCAAAATAAATGCACGTGTGTATCTGGAGAGGAGATCTGACTGAACTAATCATATCAGTCTGATGATCCTGACAGTCCCCTCCCCTCAGTACCTGGCTCCGTTGCGTCCTGCCACGTCCACGGTCTCTCCTGGGAAGAATCTGTCTTTGACGAAGGTGTAGACGTCCTCGCAGAGCTCCGTCAGCCTGCAGTGTCGGCTCAGAGCGGCCAGGTGGAGCAGAGGCACCACCAGACACTGAGGGAAGCTCTGGAGACTCTGCTTTGCTCGCCGCTCACTCTCCACCGCCTCCAGGTAAGTGAGGCCCGCCCGACCCGTCAGAGCACAGCTCCACACCAGACTGTTGCACAGGATGGTCCTCTCAAAGAACTCGCTGAGGAGGAGGCAGCTCAGTTACTCCAGAGAATTTACTTCACACTTCTACAGACACGTCTACTGACACGTTCTTCAACTGCAACCAATCAAACTAAAGCGTCCACACGAACACACGTCACATGACCCTTCACCTACACTGGTCATGTGATGTAAACAGGAAGTAGATTGTCTCCTCTGCAGTTGCTTAGCAACAGAAACTCCTCTGAAGGAGGAGCAGTGATGGTGAAAAGTCAGAGTGAGATTTCTTTTCTCCGAGCGACGACGAGGTGGAACTGTTCCTGACAGGAAGTGTTAGCGACGCTTTGTGTTCGCCGCTGGTAGTCGAGTCATGTGACCAATGAGAACCAATCAGAAGAGAATGTGGGCGTCATCGTTTACTAAAGTCTGTTTGCAAGAGTTCACATCTTCTGTTCACAGCAGACTGTAAATGATGACGTCAGAACACAAACAATGCTAGTGTATATCTAAAGTGGATATGACGCCATCAACTGGTGACCACATGAAACGCACCAATAAAACTACAGACTTCCTCACGTCACTTTAAACAGTTCCTGTGGTTCTCCTCACACCTGCTGGTTCTCCTCACACCTGCTGGTTCTCCTCACACCTGCTGGGTCAGCTGATCCCAGGTGACCTTTAAACACCTGAGCAGGTGCGGAGCCGCGTTCACTGACACCAGGCCTGTTTATGTAGAGCTAACGGCTAACAGGCTAATCCCCTTTAGCCTGCAGCTAGCTGATGAAGCTAACTCTGACACCAGGTGACCTCACCTGTGTGCTCGGGTCACTGTGACGTGTTCACGAGCCCGCGGAACTTTCCCCCCTCAGAAAAGTTGGTTTTTGTTGAGTGACTGAAAGTTTACCGGCGGATCAACTGTCAGTCAAACTTGTGCCGCGGCTCTGACGGATGTTTACCGGCCCGGGACGCGGCCCGGCCCGGCACTACTTACTCGTAGCTCCTGAAGACTTCATGGGTGATCTTACAGAGGAACACCTCCTCCTCCGGCCGCAGGTCCGCCGGGGGTCTCTGTCGGATGAAGGCTTTTCTGTGGAGAAGCGGCATCTCGCTGCTCCGCTTCTACCGGCCGCTCTCTGGAGGAAAAAAGGAGGGAAACAGGGTCACAAAGACCGAATATCATACACCAACTCCCGCTGCACACATCCAGGTCAAACCCCGGAGCAGAACCGGAGCCCCGAGGCCAAAGTACCGCGGCTGAGACCGAGCAGGAGCCGCGCGGAGCGGGTCTTTTGTTAGATTATCCGCCACATGGGAAACGTGCTCCTCACGCTCAGAGCGTCCGAGCCCGAGGACCACACACACACAACCGACACACAACACACACACAACCGACGCACACCGGCACACGGCCGCCTGGTCACCGTTTTTACCGAGCAGAGAACCGGAGAACCGGAGATGATCGTCTGAAAGTGAAGAAGTGATCCCGGGAACTGATCCTCAGCACCGGCCGCTTGTTGACCAACTTTTCATCTACTTCACGGACCGAGCGCAAGCTGGGACATTTCAGCTCCGTCAGTTTGACTGAAGTAGGTTATCAGAGTTTCTGATGATTATTGAACCTGTTAATGAGGAGCTGAGGAGCATGGCCTTTAGTTCACCTGTTAATGAGGAGGAGCTGATGCCTATTAGTTATTTCACCTGTTATAGAGCCAATCATTATTGTTATTAGTAGTAGTAGTAGTATTTCACGTGTCAATGGTGAGGAGTGATTCATCTTGTTTAAACGACAATAAATCCGTTAACTTTTATTGAATCGG